TGACACTTGCCACATGACACTGTCACCTACAGATATGCTGGGATACATTTGTAGTTATCCTGGGATGCATGTGGCTCACAGGCCCCAGGCAGAGCACACCTGTATATGATCTTTATAAATTTAAAGATTAGTATTATAGAAAATATATATAGAAGTTATAGTTCTGTAACACATAATCATTTTAAACTTTCCCTAAAATGAGCAAGATTATCAGTAAGTTATCAGTTGTAATAGCGTAAGTGAATAAAAAAAGGAACACATACACTCAACTAACTTTTTAATATTTGCTGGTCAAAGGGAGGGACAAAAGCATCAGATTTAATTTCAGGATGCAGCAAAGTTTACTCTTGGTTCTGTGTTGGTGACATCACTACCCCTGTGCTTCAGTATACAGAGTTCCCCCCATGTAAGAGCTACAATAAAGGATGTTTTAAGAATATTTAATTTTCTCAAAATATGACTAAATTAATAGAAAAGAAGCTTTTTATGTGCATGAGTGTATTGTCTGCATGTATGTAATGCACAGAAGAGGTGTGTGAGTTCCCTGCAATGCACGAGGAGGTCAGAAGAGGGTGTTGGATCCTCTGGAACTGGAGTTAGGATGGTGGTTAGATGCCATGTGGGTGCTGGGATTCGAACCCAGGTCCTCTGCAAAGGCAGCCAGTGCTGTTAACCACTGAACCATCTCTCCAGCCCCAAAGAAGAAACTTTTTAAAGTGTAAACCCATTATACCAAAAGAGTACATCTATCTCAGGCAATTTAGTAAAAGGGATAACTTGAAAAACCTCCTAAGATAACACCAAAACAATTTGGGTAATTTTTTAAAAAATCTCTCCAAATTCATGACTAGATAATTTGAGAAACTCCTCAGAGACCATAAATGAAGCTGCTGGCTATCCCCAGAACTCTGGACTGGGCCTTTCAGTACAACAGAAGCACTGGAGCCAAGGTATAGGCGCTAGAGTGAGAGGTCACGAGACCCACTCACACTCACAAGTGCTAAGGGCTAGGAAAGGCTGCCACCAGGAAAATGAGCCTGTTTCACCTCAGCCAGTGCACAACAGCAAAATCTTTCTATTCCTGGGAATGAAAATTCTAAAATAAAAACTTAAAACACCTTAAAGTGACTGGTAAAAATGAATGCAATTCCTGGAAGGGAGCACAAGAAAGCCAGGCCTCTGAGAATTTACACAAGTAAGTAAATGAGAACTTTGGATCAAAACCCCTTACATACAAGAGAAAACAAACCACTGTGACCTACATAGAACAGAAACAGCGACAGTTGCCAGAAAAAAACAGAAAGGAAAAATGTAAGGAATTATATTGACTGTTTAAATAGCAGAAGCTAGTATTTAAAGTATGAATGGGCTTATTTCATAAGTAATGTCTATAAATTTAAAATATATCACTGAATTTATTTCTAAATTCAGTCAGATTAAGCAGAGTGGATATGAAGAAATGAATAAATTTGAAGATAGTTCTGAAGAAATTATTCAGAATTAAGAGAAATAAAGAGAAGAAAACTGTTTAATGGAATCAATAGAAACTGAGGACAGAGGTAAAAAGTTTAACATAACTCTAGTAAAGTCAGAAGAAAATAATAGATAATATAGGGAAGAGACAATATTCAATTACATAAGAACTATAAAGTATTTCCAAAACTGGCAAAAGGCAAAAAAATCCTGTGATCAGAAAAACCTTGAGGAGTTCTAAATTACTTAAATAGATTTACACTTAGAGTATCAGGAAAGATGCATGGGGGTGGGGGTTGCTGGTGTTAGATTTTAAGAGCAGCCAGAGGGAAAAACAAACAACACAGATTATCCCAACACAGGTTATCTAGAAAGAAATTGGTTTCTAAGTGGCTTCAAAGGCTCTGCTCCAGGGAGAAGTAAAAGTACAGAGTGGTCTGTGCTGTAAGAACTAAAGGCAAGCAAAATGAATGAAAACCATGTGGGAAATCTAGACTGTACAGAGCTATATTCATATAGCTATAATACCAAAATCATGAGGCTAAAATCTAGTGAACTAAAATAAGAAATAATAGTATTTAGTTTGGGGGGTAAAAGTGGTTAATTAACTTTAGAATTTGTTAAGCATGCTTGTAAGCATGCACTAGAACCAGAAAATAATTAAAATAGCATTATCAATGGGAGAGAAAACAAAACTTACAAATAATTTTAACTAAAAATTCTCCATTTATTGTGGTTTAAATGTGAACTGTCCCCCACAGGCTCATGTGCTAAACACTTGGTCTCCAGCTAGAAGTTTTTAGGGACATTTTAGAAACTACAGAACTGGGATATGACTGAAGCAAGCTGACCAGGCTTCTGAAGGTCATGCGAGGCCTCTGGTCTCTTCCCCTCCCCTCTCTGTCTGCCATGACCTGAAGATGCTCCTCTACCACATGCTTCCACCACCACGAAACCACAATCTTAATAAACCCTTTCTCCCTCAGGGTCTATCAGATATTTTGTCACAACAAAAACTTCCACTGTGGAAGAGCCAGGGCTGGTTCATGAACACAGGGAGGTGGAGGCCTTCAGGTCACTGAAGGCTTGCTCATGTGAGCCTGTGGCAGGGGTGGCCTTGAGCATAGGACCCATGTCAGTTCAACAAGGGCCCAAAGGGGAGTTGAGAAATAGGTGGCAAGTCAGCACTAGATTGTGAATTTTTGAGACTGATTGCTGCTGAGTGAGTGAGAGTATGACTTACATAAGAGCACTAGATGGGATGACTAGGCTCCAGTGGCTGCATTTACACTGAAGGACATTTGGGTACAAACACCTGAATGAATAGGACTCAGCATCTATGGCAGAGTGCATAGTGTTGCGTGGGGGGATAGGGGGAGGCATGGATGGGGGAGGGGGTCTGGATGTGAGTGGGAAATGTATGAAATTTAAAAAAGCTCAATGAAAAAAAAAACATTCAGCAGAAATTCTGCCCTGCTTTGGGGTGTCACAATTTCTCTGTTAAGTTCATATCCAAGTATGAAACAGATACCATTTTATGTAGCTTGCGTATCCTTAAATTAAAAATCAGCCTGAAAGTGGAGGCCATTTCACATCCTGAATTCATACATACACACTGAACATAAATAAGCTTTGTAAGCAATATAGTACTAAAACCATCCGATATGGGTTCCTCACCAACAAAGTGGGAAAACATGCATCAGCAAAGAGCTTGTGGGGAAAAAAAAAAAAAAAAAAAAAAAAAGATCAACCTCTGGGCCAGTTCGCAAAATCACACTTCCAAAATTGTTCAAGTTACAATGTAAATTACAGAATACTAAGCAGTGATCAGCTGGAATCCATTGCCCCTGATTCCAACCAGAAAAGGCAGCGAAAGGGATCCTCACTGAGCAGGCCAAGGCAGTAGTCATAAGAGCTCCGGGTTTGATTGAGGTGGAAAAACTGAACGATTCCTGAGAGCAACTTCAGGTCTTCAGGAACACGCATGCGTGAAGCCGTGACCCTGCAAAGAGGCGCCCGTGGACGCGCGAGCCCGTGGATGCGCACTCACAGAGAACATTTGTGAAAAGAACGTTTCTGCATAGGGGACCCGAGCCTAGCTTGCATTAGTCTGGGAGACGCCGCCGCAATAGAGCCAGGCGGTCACTATTGGCCATCAGTGGCCACTATGGCCACAGGCTGCGCTGGCAGCCACAGCCACAGCTCTGCCTCAGAAGCCTGCAAGAGATGGCAGACCGCCAGTCTGGGCTGGGCGGGCCGAGTAACCGCAGCTTGGGTCTCTAGCACCGTCTAGTTTAACCACTCACGAGAAATGAGTGTGGAGTTCCAGTGCTAATAAACAAAGGGGCTGGCTCTGAAAGCCTTGTGTGCCTACTTTTGCCCACGGCTCACTCCACTTCCGGCATGGTGCTATTTTTTCCTAAAGATGGCTCCTTTGTAATGACAAACATGTTTTTAAAACTGTCTCATATGTGGTAAAGTGGAGATTTTTTAAGAACTTCACTTTTAAGTTGACAATTTGGCTTTTTTCAAAAAGGTCACCTGGGCTGGAGGGATAGCGCAGACATTAAAGGCTAGGAACCAAACCGTCAAAAAGGTCACCAAACTGAAAGCACATGGTATAAGGTATTAATAAAAGTTTATGCCCTCATATTAAGGTCTAGAACTACGTTAATGATGCATTAAAGATGCAACTAACAAGAGAAAAAGGCTTTCCAAGGCATCTCTTACTGTGACTGTACAGTAACCACTATTGCACTTGCAGACTGCAAGCCCTGAAGAAGTATGGTCATTCTGATAGAAAAACGCTTGTTGCTATGTTGAGATAGGAGTAACACTTTAAAAACAATAGACGGTTGAGTTCTCAGTTGTCTATGAAAAAAGGACAAGACTGCGATCAGAACTGGATACATTCATTCTTCTGTAGCTGAGCCTGTTTTGAAAGATGCTTGCCTGCATTACACAATAGTGCCTAAAGAGAAGAGGAATACAAGAAAAAACTTAGCAAAGCTCCACACAGGTACCCTAGGTCTCCACAGGTACCTAACAGGTAGCTGTTAGATAAACCTAAGAAGTCTGTTACTAGCACTGCATGTTATTTATTCCAGAATCATTTATTTGTAAATGATCCTGTATAGTTTCTGCAAGGCTCTGGTATTAAAAGAAAAGCCTTTTGAGCAAACATGTAAGCAGACATGGAGTGACACAATTGTTCACCTGAAGCACTGTGAAATGGCAAGCAATTTAGCATACTTCCACACATACACCTAGAAATCAGGCCTGGGCGGGATGTAGCTCAGTTACTGGAGTGCTTGCCTAACACGCAGGAGGGCCCTAGGCTCCATCCCAAGTACCACTAAGCCAGGAGTGATGGTGTACTCCTGTTATCCTAGCACTTCAAAGTGGATGCAGGAGGGTCAGAAGTTCAAGGTCATCCTTGGCTGCTTAGTGAATGGAGGCCAACCTGTGATACATGAGAACCTGTTTCAAAAGAAAACAATACAAATTATGCTACTCTTCAGCATTAGTGAAGTGCTTAAAAACATTTATTTTGTGCTCAGAATATTTTTCTAAGCCACCACAAACTACACATCCAAACTCTGACAGCACATTTAGTATTATAAAGGTGAAGCCTGGAAAGAAAGCTGTTGTACATTACACTACAATATGATCTGCAAGTCTCAGGAACTCACACTGCAGAACATTATGAGGTGAGGCATTACAGAAACCACGTACTACAGAAAGGCTGAGGACTCATTCTGAGTATTTAGTACTTGGTTTTCCCCTTCCCAAAGCTAAGATGTCCTCCATCATACCCTTCCCTTGCTGTAAGATGCAATCTAGGTATTTCATCTTGCTGATTCTTCCTTGTGAAATCCACAATACTAGCAGTAAAGAACAGAATATAAAATGTCTTTTTTAAAATAATAAAGTAGTATGACTTTAAAACACAAAACAATATGCTGACTATAAAATGAGTTGAGGACTCTATGAGGACAAAGATATGCTGAAAACATAGAGCAGAAGATGTTTCAGAAGTAGAATGCAGACTTCATTTTATATCAAATTAAGCTTTGAATTTCCAAAATAGAAACTATCAAAGCTTTTCCACATCAAAGAATTTCTACTTTCATATCAAAGGGAAAAAAAAGCAAAGAAAATTTCAAGACCAACAATAATGTAAAATCAGAATGTATAGCCAAATTTGTAGATTTTCAAGTAAACAGTTCAATTTGATGGTTCTCTCAGTAAATTTCGGGTTAAAACAACAACAAAAAACAGTTTGCCAACAGTAAACATAACAGTAATACTGTTAATACCATCCAATTTAAGAATGTAACCCATGACAAATTAAAAATGAACAAATCACATAGTGGGTAAGAGACCAGAACAGGTAATAAACCCTCAGAGGAATTAAGAAGATGCATGGACTCATAAAAACTTCCTAACACAGCAGCATACCCTAAATACAATACATAGAAAGAAACTGTGATTAAGGTAGTTGTATTAGTTGTACAACCTAAACACTATGAGGAAATTTTGGACTGTAAGCACAGCATTATCAATGAAGTACACACATCTTGAACCAATGGGCAAAGTTCCCACTTATGGGAAATATGTTCCTTTTTCACACAGTGAAACTGAGAAAAATGGTATGAAATGAGAAATCTTTCTCTCTAAAGTAGTTTTCTTAAATACTGTAGTAATGTAAATCTTGGGAAAGGCTTTTTTATCTCAACATGAAACAGGTTATTACTAAATATAAACACAAATTTTACTGCTTGGCACCAGATCTTCCAAAACTAAACTGTTTAAACCATCATAATATTCTTAAATCATATTTCAAACTGTTACATCTAACTGCTTTTATTTTCTGAATGAAAGCTTTCAATCTAATGACAATCTAGACTGTATATACAAGCCAAGTCACAGTTCACTTCAAAACAAAGAAATGATCAATCTTCTGTTTTGTCAAAATTGTAATATTAAGGTATCTGTAAAAATTAGGATTTATCTGTGGCCAACGATGGGCCCACACAACGCTGTCTTATGGCACTCTGTGAAGTATCTTTGCTTGCTCCTTCTTTATTTTCTGTTTCCTCTTCTGAAACATCTTCTTCGTCAGCCTCTTGTTCCTCCTCTACTTTTTTCAAAGGCTGAGAAAATTCTGGTGACGGTTTTTCTTAAAGATAAAGATCAGAAATGTTTCAGTTAATGTACTACATTTGCTTGAATATAAAATCAAGTTACAAGGATTGATAAGTCCATAAATGCTTTGGCATTTATTAATGTTTAGAATTCCAGAAAGAATAAATTACCTTTATTTTTGTTTTGGGGGGAAGCCTACTTATAGCCCCAGCTGACCTGGAACTTGCTATGTAGACCAGGCTGGCCTCAATCTCACATAAATCTCTCCCTCCCCGCCTCCCCCCGTCACCCCTAGCCTCTGCCTCCCAAGTTCTAGGATTAAAGGCCTGTGCTACCACTACTCCCAGCTCTAAATTACTTTTGAAAAAAGTAGATATTATAAAAATCCATTAATTACCTATCTGTTCATAAACTAAACTAAGATCAATGAATTAACCCAGTAAATGTAAAAATTGTAAAAAATATAATACTGTACTAAACAGAACCGTCTCATATAAATTTGCTATTAATCTCTTGTTCTGTAAGTATTCTCAGCACTGTCCTGTTTCAGTTCCCAAGGAAACAGGAATCACAAACGTACAAAAGCTACATTCTTCACCATGTTTTTTCTCATAACTGTAATTCCCTGCCCCATCCTTATTCATACAAGTTATTAAGGTATAACTGCAAGCAATACAATGTACAAATACCAAGCATATACCATGTATACCCCTTCTAGCTTTTAGAGCGCCAGAAGCTAGTTATGTTCAGAACACACATTATAAAGACACAGGAACTAGAATGGGGCCAAGGAGCTTTACTATGTTCACTGATCCTAGACTGCCCTAATCCTAGGCAACCCAGAATTAGAAAGGGGTTAAAAAACTGAGCAAACTATGGGATGAAACTCTCAGTGGTCTGTTTGCATGCCTCTTCATGCTGAATTACTAGATCTTGTCCTATGTTGTAGACAATGTGATTCCAATGAAGATAGCTACAATAGCAGTTCTCTACCCAGAGTGATTCTGTTTCCTCAAGGAAAACAGAAAATGTCTGAACTTTCTTGGTTGTCACACCTGATATGGACAGTACTACTGACAATGAATGCCGTACTACTGAACATTCAAGAGTGTACAGAAGACAGTCCATCCCATGTAAAATTTATGTGACAAAAAAGGGCAAGTGTGAAGACGTAAGCTCTATACATAGCACAATGTACCAGAATTTCTCAACATACAAGTGGTTATAGGAAGAAAAGAATAGATAGATTTCCTTTTGACTCTAGGACCAGGATTGTGACTCGGGGCTTTCTTTGATCATCTTATGCTGTTAAGAGGTAAGAGGAGACTGCCAAATAAAGGTGAACTGAGTGAAACACACAGCACTTGACATCATTTGAGCCGCAAGGATCCAGTCAACTCTGTCCTGAGACTTCTTGCTGTATAACACAATAAATTTCTGATTTTGTTTGAAGGTAGACCAACTTGGGTTTCTTTGCCTAGCAACTGAAACGATAAGCAAACATAATACACTAGGAAACTACTTGAATGAGGTGGCCTGTTCCCTAACAGAGACAACATTACATTAAAATGGGGACTAATATCTTATCAGTTAAATAAAATACAGCCATTTGCCCAGTGAATACTTGCTGAGTACTTAAGGATTACCAGAACAATATAAACATTACATCTATCTTCTTTGCAAAAAAAAAAACAACAAATTTTTCATTTCATGCGTATGAACCTGTTACATAAATGTACATAAGTGCACTGTGTCGTGCAATGCCTCCGGAAGTCAGAAAAGGGTGTCAGGTTCCCTGGAACTGGAGCTACTAACTGTTGTTAGCTGCCATGTGGGTGCTGGGAATCGAACCCAGGTCCTCTGGGACAGAACCCAGGGCTCTTAACCACTGAGCCATCTCTTCAGCTCCCCCACACCCCATCTTTTTGAATGATTTGGAAAACCTTTATGCTTTTCAAACTTTTCAAATTAACAGATATTTAAAGGTAGATAATTTCTCTAATAATGTTTACTATGGAACTATCAGAGGAGAGAAAAATTTGAATACTCTTGACATAAATTATCTGTCATTTTTATAAATTCCAAGAAATAAATTTCTTTAAAACTTGAGTCTTAAAGGGGACGTGTGGATTATCACCGTTTCCTTCACTCATTTCATGTTCCCACTTCCCCTATTTTCAAACACTACCTCCTTTTGTGTGCACTAAGTATATATTCTATAGTGTATTTCAGAGTCAGTATTCTTTTAAGAAGTTTATACAGTATTACCAAAAGCTTAGTTCTCTCATGTGCAGAAACCTATATAGACATTGCTATTTGCAACCCTTTTCTCTAAGACAGTGTCTCTCAAAGAGCAGTCTTCAGGACCACCAGCTTCAACTGCAGGTGGAAATTTGTTAAAAATACAGATTCCCAGGCTTATCACAGAAATTCTGAACCCACAATCCAGAGCAGGGACCACTTCTGTTTTGACAAGTTTAACAGGCAAATCCAATATATTTCTTTGCTTCAATTTATACTCTTAACACCCATGTCTTAGAGGAAATTCTTCTATTGCATCTCCCAGAGTATACACTACAGATGAATTTGAGTGGTAAGAGAACTAGGCAGCCAAGACAATAGTATTCAGTCTACAAAGCACAAAGCTCAGCATGAAATCTGATATATTTGCAGGCTCAAGGCCAGATGCATACTGATCACCCTATAGACTTTTAAAATATTTTATTATTTTTATTTTATATGTATGATTGTTTTGCCTACAGATACGTAAATGTACCCATGTCATGCCTACAGAGGCCCAAAGAGGGTGTTGAATGCCCTGGAACTGGAGTTAAGGACAGTTGTTAGCTGGGAATCAAACCTAAGTACTCTAGAAGAACAGCAACTGTTCTTAACCGCTGAGCCTTCTCTCCAGCCCCCACCCACCCATGGACTTTTTAACAAACATGGGATTTATGGGATTGTGGGGGTTGGAAAGAAAGGGAGAACTATTTTTTCTTTTCTTTTTTTTTTTTTTTTTTTTTTACATGTGTGTATGTGTGTTTTTTTTTCTTTTCAGACACGGTCTTAATTTGTAGCCCAGGACATCTTGGAATTCACAGTAATCCTCCATCTTAGTCTCCTAAGTACTGGGATTAGGTATAAACTACCATGCCTTGCAAGATAGATATTTTTACATATTTATCTTTTAGCATTACTAAATCAATTTTATTTGCTTTATTCACAATTTAAAAGTTAGTGAATGAGCATTTTATACTTCAAAATCCTTATATTTAATAAGAAGTTTGGGGTATTTGTGGAATTTTGAGAAAGGGTCCATATAGGCCAGGTGGGCTTCCAATTCACTATATACATGAGGCTAGCCTTGAACCCCTGATCCTCCTGCCTCCGCCTCTTAAGTGCTGGGATTACAGGTGCACACCACCAGACCCAGCTTAAATGTTTCTTTTAAATACTCTGTGCTTAGTGTCCCCACAATTCATTGTCTCTTGGTGGATAAAATGAGTCTTTCCCCACCTGCACATGCCCCTATCTGGGAAATCAAAAGATGGCCTGTCAGTATTTGAAAGGCAAGGCACCCTGTAAACTGAATATCCACTCATTCTGTTTTTGGAGTCCTAAGTTGAGAGAGACAGCAAAAGGGAGGGAACAGCAGGCATGAGTCTGATTGAGGCCTATGCTCAGCTCTGTCCTTTCTCTACGACTTTGGGGCAATCTTTCATCTTTCTGCACTTACTTTCCTCAAAGAAAAGATGGAAGCAATATTACCCAGGCAGTCAACGACAAAGTTGTTGAAAGCTGGGCATGGTGGCACACACTCTAATTCTAGTGGTGGGGGTGGGGAGGGGTGGAGGAAACAGGAGGTTCAGCAGTCCAAGGCTAGACTCAGCTACATAGCAAGCCCAACCCAAAATACATGAGATTCCAACAAACAAGTGTTGAAAAGCAGATTATAGAAAGATAAGTCAAAGTAAGTAGACAGCATACGAATAATACATTTTTTAAGATTAGAAATGGTAGGAATTATATTACAATAGGCAGCATTAAGTGTTTCTAATTATATAACTTATTTTGAAACGTAAGTCAGCATCAAGGCAAGACAACCCTTTATCAGCTTTTCCCAGTATCCTACCAGGAAAAAATGGAAAATTAGTTGAATTTAAAGAACCAATCTTCAAATGTGGACATAAACTACTGAATGACTTCAAAAGTGGAATAAAAGGTGTATTTGAATGGATCCAGGAATATCATGAAATTTTAAAATATACTAATGAGTCTATTGCTGTTAAATACCTACAAGCTACATGCAGTATTAACATTCTCTATATTATAACAATGTTCCAATATCTATTGGGATACCATCTCCTCACCTTTCCTTATGCCACAGCTGATAAAGATCACCCTTCCACACCCAACCTAAGCTGAAAGCACAACCTGTTAATTGTGTGACTGTGTTTGTGGATACAGCTCAATAGTAGAGTACTTGCCTAGCACACACAAAGCCCTAGGTTCAACTCCCAGTACCACCCACTCACACCTACACCCACACCCACACAGACTTACTTAAGGAATGACTTGTCTGTGGTTTGCGCCTTTTTGAAGGACAAAAGCAATCTGCCACAAATATCATAAACTGCAAAAATAAACAGAAATCCAAATATATGACATGTATTAACAACAATGACATTCAAGTATTTTTGTCTTAGTACTCTAAAAATGAAGTACTTACAAGTCCTAGTAATAGTCCAGAAAGCACAGTTGCAAAAGCAAACACCAAGTATGAGCCCCAAGCTGGGATTCCAAGGTCATGAACAAAATAGCTATGAGAAGTCTGAAATCAAAAGAAAAAAAATAAAACCATGTTCATTAAAAAGAAAAAAAGTGTTAGAAATGGTTAAGACGGAAAAATTTTAATCCATACCCTGATGAACACAGACATCTGAAACAGTGCTGACATGGTAGTCATCCTGAAAGAGATGATTGAAAGGTTGAGCTAGATGTGCAGCTTTGCCTGTATCTAGACAGTTTTAATTTCTCCAACATGGCATGTTTTATCGCTGGTATTAATCATGACTAGTGATCCATCACTGACCTCAAAACTGTAATAAAGCCTGCTCATGAAAACTAACAGCTTCTGAACCACTTCTGCCATCTCATCTCATTAATAAGATACTTGAAGATTTTTTTTCCTTTCCTATGGCTTCCACATGCGCTTTTCACTTTCATCTTATGATTTTTCAATACAGTAAGCAATAAGCTCCAAATCCCAGAAAATCGGTTTAAAAAATGGCAAATCTTACTCATCTTTAACATCCTCAAAAAGTAAAAACCTGAAGAAAGACCTGGAAGCATTTTTGGAACTGATTCTTCCCAGGTAAAAACTACATCTTTCTAGCTTGGGATGTAGCTCAGCTTTAGAGCACTTGCCTAGCATATGCTAGTCTAATTCCCAGCATACATACACGTCTTGCCAAAAGGAAAAAAAAATACTCCTTCCATTAAAAAGCAATTAAAATTTACAATAGCATTACTTTGATAGCTTTTAATGACATATAACGACATATGAAATAAACAGGAAATCATCATGGAAGTAAAAACAATTATTTTCATATTATTAAATGCAGGTAGTTTAGATAAGTAGTTTTTAAAAGCATGCTTCCAAATCAAAATGCGTTTGTGGGTTTCCAACTATTCCCTGTAGCAAGTACAGCTGTTGCTGCCAAGGGCTTTTCTAGACAAAAGCCAACAGTTGGCTTGATTCACTCCAACTGCCAACTGCTGGTGTGAGTGACCCTGCTGAACTGTCTTCAAGTAGCCCCGGTTTAGTCTAACAAAAAAGAAAAGAGGGATACCCTGCAGCACCAAAGCTTCAAAAACCTCAAAAGCAACAACCTTCTACTAGATAAAGTTGTATGATTCACTTAGGAGATTCTAAAGAATAAAAAGTAGAACAGCACGTTCATCATGTTGCTTTTGTTATTTGAAAGGCCAAGTAGAACTGGGTATGGTAGTGCATATTTGTAAGCCCAACACTGGGGAGGCTGAGGCATGAGAACCAAGAATTAGAGGCCAGCCTGGACTATACAGTAAGAACCTGTCTTTAAATATAAAACAAAACATAAAAGCCAAGTGGGACACCTAATGAGGAACAGAAACATTAAAACCTCACTGTAGTCTGTACTAATTAAACAGTATCAGTAAAGTAATACTAGGTTCTGTAGTTGGGTTGTCATGGTTGCTCACTGGACAAGTTCTGACAGCTGAAGGATGATTCAGAGGTTTTTTGCCAACAGGAGAAACACAAAGGGGAAAGATAAATTGTACCTCAAAATTCCACTCAAGGGCTGATTTGTTCCCCTACTCCTAGGATCCACAGCATTATCCTCTCACATGGTTGGTTTCCCACCTCCCCCATCTTCCAATCCAGGTATGGTGAAGGACAGAAATAACTCAGTCACACCAAGATGGGGCCATGATGGTCTCTGCGAAACCCACACTGGCAAGTATGTAGCATGCAATATGCTTACCATTCTCAATCCTAACTGCTGCAGTGTATCTACCTTCTAGTTATCTGTAAGCTCATGTCATTAGTCACTGGTCAGACACACTATTCATACAGTATCTGACAGGAGGAATAGCCAACTAAACACAATCCAGTCACTTCACATTAATAATGAAAATGAGTATTCAATCAAATATTATGCTCAAGCAATAGCCTTGCCCATTACATTGCTCAGTCTTCAGAGGATCAAGTTCTTAATGATATGTATAACCAAAGCTAAAATGTTATTTAAAGGTATTCAATTTAACCCTACAGAATGTCTACTTCTAGCTTAACATGCATAGAGGTACCTGTTTTAAAGGTCAAAACAGACATACTAAACACAATAAAACTGAATATGCCATAAGGGCCCAAGAAACAGTATGTATACTTTATTTACATGAAATATAATTATCTGTTCCAATTAATTCTAAAGTAAATAAAAAAAGAAATCCCTCATACTTACAGAACAGAGCTTGGACCAAACCACGATGAAACAGGTTCAACGCTCTTCCATTCTTTCTCACTTATAAAGTTTATGAAGTCCTTCTTAGTCCTTGGGCCCAGATACCGCCTAAATTCACCATCTTTACAACTAAAGATCAAATTATTAACTGTCACTGAGAAATAACTTAAACTTTAGTGTTTATCACACCTCATTTTATAGTCAATCCTTATATTCCAAACCATTAACAAAGCACAAGAACATATTATTACCTACTGATGACATCATAATCCCAAATACAAACAAACATAAGCTTTAAGATTTGTTATTTCAAATAATAAAGTTATGAAACACTGCAAGTAGAAAACTACCTTTAAGCCTTATGTGTAATAGACATGTTAAAGGAATTACTATATAGTTATCAAACAGTGCTGGACATGTATTAGTTGTTTTTAAACTGTCAACTAAACTTTTGAGGTTATTTTTCTGGTACCTTCAGTCATGATTTCACCATCTGTCATTCTACTTTAAATTACAGGCCTGTCGGGTACAAGGCTTCCCTCTGAGGGACTTCAGTGATTCTGACTACAGTTAACTTTGTACTCATCCCTCTGTTCACCACCTCCTTCCATTCCATGGATGGAGGTCTATCTCACAACTATGAGTGCTCTCAGCTCCTACATCTTAAGTGTAAAACCTCAATAGTGTCCTAATCTTACATCAGGGTTTGGGGACCTTTCATCAGCAAGACACAATGACGGCCCAGTCAAAACTAGAAAGTTTGAAAGTGTTGACATTTGAGTTGTTTTCAGCAGGACAGGTAACAGAAATTAGGGGGGAAAGGCAAGATAAACAGAACTTCCAGGTAAGTTCGGGGATGTTAAGAAGTGAAAAAGGGAGACTGATTATAGCCAGTTAAGGGGCAGATGGGGGGGAAAGGACTGAGTGAAAAGAGGATGAACACCACTTATCGAGACAGAATAAAAATTTTAAAACATAGGGATGAATTTTTTGAAAGTATTAAAAATAGACAAAAAAGCAAGATACAGGCAAGCACAATCAACTGCTAGTTTGTTACTACTGTCTGAAAAAAGAAAAAGAACAGAAGTACCTCCTGGTATGTAGCCCCACCAGCTTACATTAACACACAGGTCAGGTAAAAAGACTGGAGTTTACCCCCCACCCCCTAGTTTAGTTTAGAAAATAAGTCAAATTAACAGACCTGAGACTGGCCCATTCTGACTTATACACCCATCCATCACTATTCTCCCCAAGGCTGTGCAGCAGCACTTTCTCAGCTGCTTTTTAAGAAATCACGTTCCCTCCTGTTGCAGATTGCTCAGGGAAATGCTTACCCTACACTCTTGAAAATTCTACACCCCATGTTTCATTTAAACCCCATGTTCTTCAGGACCTGCTCTGGCCAACAGTGATTTCTATTTCTCCTCATTAGCCAACAGCCAACAGGACTCTCATTACCAGGCTGGGCTCACAGGTATCAATTCATGAAAACATCACCTTCCAAAGCAACTGCAAACCTCTGAGAACAGGGAATGTTTTAGGCATCATTCATCTGTCTGGCTATAGGACTTAGGGTACCACCAAGAGCAAAACAAGCTCTCTAAAGCCCATGCTGAATATAATGAGATTACCTAAGCTCTTCAGGCAGGATCCAAGTCAGAGGCCTGCTATTCTGCTTACACTATATGACACATCCTTCTCCAAACTGAGAATCTTCAAATACTTACTGATAAATAGAAGGAAGAGCTGTTATGATAAACCGTCCACTCAGTCCTACAAGACAAAGAAAACACAACAGGTTTTATTAAGGTCAATCACTGACTACTTAAAGTTGATTTTAAATTATTTAAATACTAGTAAGAACATGAAAATAGGGAAGCTTTGTAATCAACAATGAAAATATGAATTAGTAGTTAAAGCAACTTTAAAAGACACATTAGCGTATATAAGTAATTTAAGAAGTTTGTGAAGCAAGTCACTTGTGAATAAATACTTGATGAATTAATTATACCACCATGTATTTAAGTCTAGTTAAGTGACAGCTGGGCAAGGTGGTGTTCAACTTTAAACCCAGCACTTGGAGGCGCAAACAGATATCTATTCAAGGCCAGCCTAATCTACATAGCAAGTCCCAGGCCAGCTGGGTTCAGGGAGACTCTTTCTCAAAATAAATAAATAAATAAATAAATAAATAAATAAATAAATAAATAAAATTAAGTTAAAAAAGAAAAAGACTGGTAATGACCAGCCAAGTAACAATATAATCTTAGAAAGGTCTCAAAGCAAATGAAATTGTACTTGGCATTCAAGAACAAAGGTAGTTTTGTTGTTGCTGAAAATGGGAAATGCTAAGAACCAGGAATACTATGACAGGCAGTAACAATAGCAACTAACATGTCTTATTAACCACATGGTTAAGGACTGGTGACTGAAGAAAACCTGTCTGTGCCTACGTTTTCTTATATGTAAAATGAGGATATTACATTAACTCACAAGGTTGTGTAAGGATTAAATGATAAATGTAAAACTCCTGGGGGAAAAAAAAACCTGCAATATAAAATGCTTAATAAATAGTACTTACTACTGTCATTTGGACAGGGCAACCAGGAACACAGGTTTACCATAACCACTAAGAACAAAATTGAGCCTAGGCTGGACTGAGAAAAGAGCATCTTCAATAGCAGGGCTCACCACTTACTAATTTTACCATCCTGACCAGGTCAAAAGTATACTTGAATACCCATAACTTTGAAGACTCTGTAATTAAAAGCCCACACACCCAAAGTATTGGCATTAAATCTGGAATTCGATTTCAGAGGTTCAGATCTCATGAGAAAATGATTTTGACTCTACAATGAAACTCTGCTATACGCCCATTATTGTGAAGCCTGGTGTGGATATAAACTCTGACCTGGACAATGTCTACTTGAGCCAGTGTTCGAAGACTTCTTAAAGGCATTCTACATGCTGGCCTGAGACATCAACAACCAAAACAAGATGAGGGGGCTGGAGAGATGGCTCAGCGGTTAAGAGCATGTACTGCTCTCGAGGAGGACTAAAGTTTGGTCCCAGCACCACATGAGGCAGCTCACCACCTCCTGTAATTCCAGTTCCAGGAGTTCCAACACCCCCTTCTGGTCTCCACAGGCACCTGCACTCACATGCACACCCCACACATACACACAATAATCTTAAAAAAAAAAATGAAGTTGTGGGTAAAAATGAGGAATGGGTAACACTCCTCAATACATAGGAATGAATTATATACAAAGCAGGGGAATCTTCACAGCCTCTGCACATGAGCACAGGAGCCCTCTTAAAAGTCAAGGGGGGAGGGGCTGAAGAGATGGCTCAGTGGTTAAGAACACTAACTGTTCTTGCAGAAGACCCGGGTTGGAATCCCAGCACCCTCATGGCAGCTAACAACTGTCCGTAACTCCAGTTCCAGAGGATCCAACAGCCTCTTCTGTCCTCCGCAGGCATTGCACAACATGGGTGCACTTACCTACATGCAGGCATAAGACTCATACACATAAAATAAAAACAATAAATAATTTTTTAAAGTTCTAGTGTCAAGCAAATGTTTGATTAAAGTTTTCTAATGAAAGTATAGAATATGGACTGTGGAAAATACAGTAACATCAACAGAATGGCAAAGAAACAGAACCAGCTGGACTTATAATACCTGTCTGCTCTGTAACATCCACTTTTGCAACTTTAACCTCAAGATCTTCTCCCCATTCAGCAAAACTTTCCCATTCTGGTTGAAGATTTTGACAAGCAGGGCACCACGGTGCATAACTAAGAAATACAATTTTTTTAAAAAAGTTAAGCCAACAGCCATTTGTCACTGAATAAAACAAAATTGTGAAGAATTATTTTTAGCATAATTTTTGAAGTATGTTTATACTTTTAGCACTGAAAATGACCCACCCACACTGGCTCATACCTGTGATCCAAACATTAGCGAAGCTGAGTCAAGAAGATTGCTGTAAACTCAAGCCCAGCATGGGTTACAGAGTGAGACCTTGTCTCAAATCAAGTTAAAAAAATAAAAATAGCAACAACAACAAAAAAGCTGAAAATAATAATAGTGGTTAATTTTATGCAGATGAAAAAAGTTGAAAGTCTGAGACTAGCAATCTGGACACCAGCAAATGTTGAACTGATCAGTCTAACCACACATAAAAAAGTAATCCCAAGAACAAATTCTTAAGGACACAGAGCTTTGGGGCTGGAGAGTTGGTTCAGCAGTTAAGAGTACTGGCTGCTCTTGCAGAGGACCAGAGTTTGATTCCCAGCACCCACATGGAAGTTAATAACTGGCTATAACTCCACTTCCAGGGGATCTAATGACCTCTTCTGACTTCTGTGGGCACTGCATAACAAGGGTGCACTTACCTACATGCAGGCAATACACTCATACACAAAAATAATAAAAATGTTTTAAAGACTCGAGAACTTTAAATATGTTTTTAATAAAAAGGCTTTAAAAACCTTTAGATTTTTCTGTTAGAATGTGATAACCAAAAAGACTGGAGAGATGGCTCAGCAGTTAAGAGCACTGGCTGTTCCTGCAGCACCCAAATTTGGTTCCCAGAACCCACATAGCAGCTACCAGTCCATAACGTCAGTTCTGCAGGATCTGATGCCTTCTTATGGCCTCCAAGGGCAATGTATACAGGTGTACTTATGTACATGTAGGCAATACAACCATACACATAAAAAATAAAAACAATTTTTGCTGTGGCAACCAGAAAGTTTAAGGTTTTTTTTTTCCCAGTTCATCAATTTCTTTTTTCTTTTATTTAACTTTTTAAAATGTATATGAGAATTTGTCTGCATGTATGTAAGTGCACTCATGTCATGCAATGCCTGCAGAGGCTAGAAGAGGGCATTGGATCCACTGGAAATGGAGTTATGAACAGTTGTTAGCTGCCACATGGGTGTTAGAATCTAATCTAGGTCCTCTGGAAGAGCAATGCTCTTAACCACTGAGCCATCTCGCCAGCTCTCAGTTCACCAATTTCAATAATTTTATAAGCAGGGTCACAGGCAAGATATTGGAAAAACAGGAAGTACCTACACTGTGGTTGCAAGCTACAAATGAAGTTCACAACAACCCCTGGAAGGACTGCCCCAGAAAGGCAGGCTGTTCATATTAGAACCTAAAGACCTGCATTTTTATGTACAAAAATTATTTCAAAACTTAACCCTAACACAAATACTAAGCAAGGTGGACAACACTCTTTTGGCCAGTACCAGGTCAACCTGTTGCCAAGACCCTGGGCTTACAAATTTCATGGCCAAGGATACCAACATTCTAATTACTTCTCTGGAACTCTTTTTCCAGGTTCAAATATTTCCTTAGAATTTTATTTTTCCACTTCATTGTATATTGTAATTTGCTTCAACCTACAGAACTAGTAAGAATGAAACCTACACTAATCAAAACACAAAGACTCTTTCTGTAACCACAGTTTCTTGAATCATTTTAGGAAAACCAAACTTAAATGATGGGCATGTAAACAAGACAAAACAGTATTACATACAAAGGCCAAACTCCATTAACAATAAAATCGCAAAGAAAACATCTCTATAATAAAGTTCATCAGAAGTGGATTTATGGAAAATAACTTACTTGTAATTAAAAGTAAACTATTAGAAATATTAACCAGATCCTTTAGTTTTCAAGTGTGTTGTTTCTTAATGCTTTAAGATTTTTTAAATACATGTTTATTTTATGTATATGAATGTTTTCTCTGCATGTGTGTAAATGCACCCATGTCATGCAGTGCCCTCAGAGGTCCCTGGAATTGGAGTTACGGACGTTGTTAGCCACCAGGTGAATCCTGGGAACTGAACCTGGGTCCTCTGCAAGAGCAGCTGGTGCTCTTGAAATACCTAGCCATCTTTCCAGTTCCTCTTAATGCTTTTAACAGACTTCTTTAAACTCAAAATTTTATAGCCAAGGAAAAAGAAAAGCATCATCCTGTACAGTAACTTCAGATACATGTTCTACTTTGGATTGCCTCATATCCAGTATTTCCTTAGTTTTCTTCCCCCTTAATACCTCTTCTGGCTGTCACATTGTATAAAATAAAAAGTATCTTTCAAAACCATTTGGCTATTATTTTACACACAAATCCATCAACATTACAGCTTTAATAGTAAACACTTTATGGCACAATCTAAAACAAGTTATTTACAACAATGACTGAAGAACAAATACCACTGGTTGTAACTCCTCTCCTGAAAATTCACTTCAATGAGTAGGAGATTATAGGAACGAACCCTCAACATTCCTCTCTATCTTACCCTCCATATATGAATGTTCTATACAAAACCTTTATATACATTCTTCATATATATTCTATATGTAAATATATTCTTTATATAAATTCTATATATGTAAAGATTTTATGACTCAGGTGTTACTCATCTGGTCTTATGGGTTCTTGACTGGAGATGCCCATTTCCACCTATTGCTTAATGGGCAGCCCTAATTATAATCATGATTCCCCCAAAGCACCAGAATCTTGCTAAAGAGTTGCTAACAACGACTACTTATTATGGAGGCCCAAAGCAAGCCACAGCAGTATCTGAACAGTAAACAGAAATTTATTTTAAAATCTTTTTTTCCCTTTTCTCTTTCCCTTTCACTCTGAATCTCATTTTTCTTTTGAGTGTCTGCTTTTACAGTTTGCAGAGTGCCTTGAATTATGGCTTCTAGGCCTGAACTGTTATTTCATATACATTAGTGTATTAGAGACTCAGAACGCCATTTCATAATTATTCAAACAAAATCATATGTCTGGTGTGGTGATTCTATTCTAGTGTCCGTTCTGCTGCAGTGGACACTGGCTTTATGGTAGATGCTAAATTGATGGTGATGGCAAAGATAGTTATTACTGATGTTACTGATATTGGTAAGTGCACATTATTGAATGTTAATTGCGTACTAGGCACTAAGCAACTTCACATACATTTTCTACAAATCTATGGTACTTACGTATATCCACACCCCACTCCCATTAAAGGGCTCCCAACTCCAAGCACTACCAATGGATAAACAGAACCATTTCCTAATGAGAGGAGCAAAGCGGGAAAATTTTTACTCAATGTCCTCTTTTTGTAAAATCTGGTGAATATAAACCAGGTGCCTGTGAACCGTCACTCTAGAATAGTCTACGGACCCAGTGAAGACCTCCACCCTACCCAGCCGCATCCTCAATCCCGCGAGGCTATTCTAGAGAATTCCATGTGGCACGTAATTGTTTGGTCGCACCACAGCCTCTAGTCAGGAAGTCGAATGCAGGCTTCGGGAAAACCGTGATATTCGGGGTGAGGGGCTGGGGGCGGCTGCCAGCCAGGCTGCCGGGAAGGTGGGCTGGTCAGGTGTAGCTCGAGGGCGGGGCCGGCCGCCGCCCGACCACCGCCTGCACTCACAATTCTATCATCCACTCTCCCTCCAGCAGCGACGTCCAGTTCTCGTCGGTGACGACGCGCACATTGCTCCGCCGCCCGTGGGCCCTGGGGACCGCCCAGAGCAGCACAACCAGGACCACCAGGGGAACCAGGAGCCGCCCCAAGTGCGCCATGTCAGCCGCTCGCCCAGCCCTCAGCGCACGCCCGCTCCACCACCCTGCTGCAGCTCCACTTCCGTTCTGGGGGCCGCTCTGCGCCTGCGCACTAGTGCGCGGGAGGCGTACGCGTTCCCCCCCTCCCAGACACTCAGTGCGCATGCGCGAGCCCTGCTCCTGTGGGAGGTGGAGAGGAAAGAGGGAAGCGCTTGGGACCCAGTGCGCATGGCAGAAGTGGTGTCAGCGGTTTGAGGCAGTGGACAGCGTTAGATGGGGCTTGGCGGAGGGCCGTTCTGCGGGGAGTGGCCCTCCTTTCTCAGCGCTGCCTGGCAGAGTCGCCATGGCAGCTTCTTCTGGCGCTTTCCTTTCTCAGAATGTCACCAGTTAGAACAAGCGTAGGCCGTACTGCCCCAGCCGTGTCCTGCTGGCCCACTCTGGCAGCTGCTAACCATTTAGATGGGGAGGTCTCTAGAAGGGAGGTAGGAAATAAGAGGAAAAAGCCAAGATGGCTGCAGAGCTCTAGGCTGCTTGGCATGGAGGGGGCTTGGTGGGTCTAAGCAGCGGCCACCAACCAGCCATCATGGGAGTATTTTTAGCGTCACACCTTTCCTGGCATAATGTGACTGATTAGCATCTCAGGTTAGCTTTGTTCCTCGGAAGACTGGTTTTTGTTTTGTTTTTCCTTACGTCGATTTATTTCATTAGGTTTAGAGCGAGGAGCTCATTATGATGTACGCTTATTGCTGCTGCTTACGGTAAAAGATCTCAAGTAAATGCTATTAAATTTGAGATACTCAAATCAGATGAACCCTGGTAATAATCAACTACCAAACCCTATTGGATTCTCATAAACTGATCCCAAATCCATCTCTTCATCCTTTTGTCATAGTGTTGACATAGACCATTACCTTTTTTCTGAAGTCTGTGGAGTTCATTTTTAAAATAATACAATTTTTAACATGTAATTCACATGTTATACAATTCACTTAAAATATATGGTGCAGTCGTTTTTATGAGAGAGATGTAATCATCACCACAGCCAAATTCAGAACATCCTCATTGGTCCCCAAAAGAAACCCTGTATCCGTTTGGAGTCACCTGCCATCTCTCTCCATTCACCAGTTTTCCTGACCTTAGACAAAAAAGGCTCATTTACTTCCTGTCTCTGTGATTCAGCAAACAATATTTTATATAAATTGAAACATGCATTATGTTGTCCTTTATAGTTAACTTATTTTAACTCCAAGCATGATTCCCTTAAGGTCTTTGAACTCATAATTGTTAAATCTTGGCTATTTCGTGGGTAGTTCTATTGCTGTTCTTTCAGTGTATGGGTCGTGTATTCCTGTATCTTTCGCAGGACTCAAAGTTTTTATTGGTGAATTTCATTTCTGCCTCAGAGGATGTAGCTTGGATATGTACGCAAGTCACCTGGGTGATAGTGGTTTGAAAGGCAAGGCTCTCTTTGGCTGTCCCTTTTTCTGAATGTATCTGTCTCATTTGGTATCATAGTCTATGAAGTGCTGACTGACTTGCTTTTTAAAAAATTCCTTGGGGTGTAAATTGCCCCACAATTTGATCAAGTAAATGTTAACCCCAGGACAGTTCTTAATTATCTTTTTTTCTTGGTTCTCTCTGGTGAACTTTGTGGCATATGCACTAGCTTCTTGCTCTTAATAAAAGGAAACTTGTGTTTTGAGAGGCTTCTTAGGCTTGATCATCCCCCATACTTTAATAAAATTCATTCCTTCGGGGAGAGTTTAGAGCTCTACTTTTTGTGGACTGCCTTTCTTCCTGGGCACAGACAGTCTCAACCATTATTCTGGGCACAGAATAGAACAGCAGAATCTGGTCTTCTAGACTTAGTTCTTGCTAGAGTGAAGTCTCTTGTCATATGAGCAAGATGGGGTGAAGGTGACTGGAGTTACCAGTATCCCCCAGTCTGCTGTACCCAGGGTAGAGCTTTCATTGTATGTGTGATGCCCTATCACCAGGAATTTAGCCTCTGCAACTCGGAGTGATAAAAACACCAGTGGTCTTCCCTTCCTCGTAAGATACTATATCTCTTAAGGGGAGATCAAGCCCTGTGTAATTGGTCATACCCATCTAGAGTAGAGTTTCCACCAAAATGAACTGGGGATGGGATGATAAAACAAATAGGAGTTCAAGATGCCTTGGAGACCATAGATTCTCACTGTTCTTACTGAATTTTAGTAGATATTTTTGGGAAAAAAATTCATTTACTGTGTCATTAAAACAATTTCCAGAAACTTTCAGTGATTTATTTTTGGTTTTATATATTTCAACAACATTATGGGATGTGTATGTCCCTGTGGAGCCATACGTTGAAGTCCTAACTCCCAGTAGCTCAGGATGTTAACTGCATTTGGAGATAGGCTCTTTAAAAGGACAGTTAAAATAAGGTCATCAAGGGGCTGTATTTACTAAAAAGAGGATCCTTAGGAGGCATGGCAGTTAGAACACAGGCATGTGAAGTCACAGGGAGAAGTTGGTCATCAAGATGCCAAGGCAGGGACCACAGAAGGAACTAATCCTCTGACAGCCTAATCTCAGACTTCCAGCCTTTAGAACGATGAGAAAATTAAGTTCTGTTGTTTGGAAGCCACTCAGCCAGTCTTTGGAACTTTGTTTTGGCTGAGAAAATACAACCAACCAGTTATAGTTGTTTTGCTCTTGAGTGGGGCTCCAGAGCCATCCACACTGCCATTCAGAAATAGATCATTATAAGATGTAAAGTTCCTAATTATTCCCAGTACCTTTATACTGCTGTCCCCACCCCATCCCTTCCACCACCAAATCTATTGTTCATTTTCCTAAATAAAACCAAAATCATCTTCGTACCACACAAGGCTGATCACATTTTTACATGATTAAAACTACTCAGTGGGTGAGTGGCATGCTCCCCTTTATTCTCAGCAGAAAGTTCAAGTATATTTTTTTAAAGATTAATTTTGTTATTTTATGTGTCTATGTTTCTGTGCTCTTAAAACACTGAGCCATCTCCTCAGCCCCATGTTCAAATATTTTAATACAATTTCCAGTACTTGCTCAGGTAAGTAGCCAGTTATATGGAGATGAACCAGGACTAGCTATTCCATCTTTAGATTTTATCTGTATGTAAAAATGACTTTTATAATCCGGGAAGAATCTGGACTAATGACTTTTACTTAACCTTGCACCAAAAAGCTATGATTTATAGGGATCAACGGGCTTGATTCTCATGTTCATCAGTGTATCTTCAATACCTACAGGTCATTGGTGTTACCAGATTCTATAGGTCAATTAAATCCTCAGCCCAAATAGTTAAGTGAAATAAAAAGTACTTAAAAACACGGAAGTTGGGTGTGGTAGTACATGCCTTTAATCCCAGCACTCATGAGGCAGAGACAGGTAGATTTCTGTGAGATGGAGCCCAGCCTGGTCTACATAGTGAGTTCCAGGCCAGCTGGGACTACAGGGAGACTCTTGTCTCAAAAAACCAAAATTTTTTTTTAAAAAGCAAGCAAACAAAAATATAACAGAAAAAGGGAATTTGGAGCTGGACTGATGACTCGGTGGCGAAGAGTGCTTGTTGTTCTTCCAGAAGAACCCAAGTTTGAGTTTAATTCTTAGCACCCATGTCAGGAGGCTCACAACCACCTGTAGCTCTAACTCCAAAGAATCTGACACCCTCTTTTGGCCTCCATGGGCACCTGCACACACCTCACACATGGCATACATTCATACAGACACATACACATAAATAAAAATAAATCTTAAAAAAAAAATGGGACTGGAGAGATGGCTCCACTGACTGCTCTTGTAGAGGACTCAGGTTCAATTCCCAGCACCCACATGGCAGCTAGCAACAGTCTGTAACTCCAGTTCCAGGGGATTCCAATACCCTCTTCTGGTCTCTGCTGGCATTGCACAACACGAGTGCACTTACATACATGCAACCAATACACTCATACACTTAAGAAAGAAAATATTTTTTTAAAAAAACAGTTTTGAGGATTTAATTCAATAGACATCAATGTGTATAGACTGTATATATCCACACGTGTGCATATGTGTATACACATACATTCAGTCAGTGTAATGACATTTTTGTATATATAAACATAATGATACATGGTTAGATTTTATTTTACAAGTTTTTTAAATATAAAAATAATCATCCCTTGGTATCTGTGGGGAATTGATTCTGTGATTCCAACTATTTTAGTGTCCTTTCTCTTGTTGTGGTAAAACACTGACCAAAAGCAACTTGAGGAAAGAAAGGGTTTTATTTGGCTTACAGGTTACAGTCCATTGTTGAGGGAAGCCAAGACAGGAACCTGGAGGAGGAGCTGAAACAGAGACCATGGAGGAATGTTGCTTGCCAGCTTGCTTGCTCTGACTTGCTCAGCTACCTTTCTTATACTGCCCAGGCCCACCTGCCTAGGAATGACACCACCCATAGTAGGCTGGGTCCTCACACGTTAATTATCAGTCAAGACAATCTCTCACAGACATAGTCAGAGGCCAATCTGACCTGAGAAATTCTTCAACATCTAGGTTCCTTCTTCCCAGGTGATTCTCGTTTGTGTCAAGTTGACAAAAACTAACCAACACACCAACAAATACCAAAATCCTTGGACGGTCAAGTTCCTGATGAAAAATGGCATGGTGTGTGCATGTGCTTTATGTCCATCCTCAGACATATTTAAATTATCTTTAAATTACTTATAGTACATAAAAGAGTATAAAAGCTATTTAAATAGTTTATACACTATATTGATTAAGGAATAATAAGACAAAAGACCTTTCTTGTTCAGTACAGATGAATTTTTGTTTGAATATTATGTGTGTTTGGTATGTATACATGTTCATGTGTGTGTACACACCTATGTACAATTGTGCCTGTGCATATGTGTGCATGTAGATGCTAGATGTCAACATCAGGTGCCTTCCTCAAACTCTCTAAGCTTTTTTATTTTTGAGTTAGGGTCTCTCGTTGAACCTGGAGCTCACTGATTTGTCTAGATTAGCTGGCCAGCAGGCCTCAGTGATCTCCTGTTTCTGCTTCTTAGGCTCTAGGATTAGAGGAGTGCACTTTCTCATGGG